GGTTTTCTAGTGGTTTATTGGAGATAAGAGTCTCACGGACTTTCCTGCCTGGGCTGGCTTTGAACTGCAATCCTCAGATCTCAGCCTCCTGAGTAGCTGGGATTACAGGTAAGAGCCACCGGTGTCTGGCTTCAGTAATGAGTTTTAAGTTTTGTATATTGCCTAAGTTATCTTGCATACTGCTAATGGTATATTTTGGAACTTTTGGGTCATAAAGTTGAAATTTTTTGTCCATTGTGGGGCTTGAACTCAGGGCCTGTGTGCTGTCCTGAGCTCTTTTTGCTCAAGGCTAGTACTTTACCACTTAGAGCTACAGCTCCACTTCCAAAAATAATGTGTGTGTGTGTGTGTGCATGTGCGCACTGGTACTGAGGTTTGAATTCAGGGTCTCCTTTTCTTACTAAACTTTGTTTCCCCCCTCTACCATTTGAGCCATACATCAACTTCCAGCTTTTTGCTGGTTAATTGGAGATAAGAGTCTTTGCTGTGAGCTGGTCTTCTGAGAAAGGTCTACAGATTCAAAAAGCAAGTGACAGAACAAGCTGGCTGCTGGTGGCTCATGCCTGTCATCCTAGCTACTTACGAGGCTGAGATCTGAGGACTACTATTCAAAGCCAACCCAGGCAGGAAAGTCCATGAGACTCTTATCTCCAAATAGCCACCAGAAAACTGGAAGTGGAGCTGTGGCTCAAAGTGGTAGAGTGCTAGCCTTATGCAGAAGAGCTCAGGGACAGTGCCCAAGCCCTGAATTCAACCCATAACTGACAAAAAAGAAAAAAAAAAGTAATAGTGAAATTAACCGAATAAACAGCATTTTTGCATCATTTTGTTATTGTTGTTTCTGCACTTGCATTTTTTTTTTTGGGTCCAGTCGTGGGGCCTGAACTCTGGGCCTGGGCACTGTCCCTCAGCTCTTCAGCTCAAGGTTAGTGCTCTACCACTTGAGTCACAGCGCCACTTCTGTCCTTTTCTGCTTATGTGGTGTTGAGAAATTGAACCCAGGGCCTCATGCATGCAAAGCCAGCATTCTACCACTGAGCCAGCTTCCCAGCCCTATCTAAACTTTTTTTTTTGGCTGGTTGTGGGGCCTCAACTCTGGGCCTGGGCGCTGTCCTTCAGCTCTTCAACTCAAGGCGAGCACTCTACCACTTGAGCCACAGTGCCACTTCCAGCTTTTTTGCTAGGTGGTGCTGAGGAATTGAACCCAGGGCCTCATGCATATAAGGCAAGCACTCTACCACTGAGCCACCTTCCCAGCCCCCTATCTAAACTTTTTTTTTTTGTCGGTCGTGGGGCTTGAACTCTGGGCCTGGGCGCTGTCCCTCAGCTCTTCAGCTCAAAGCGAGCGCTCTACCACTTGAGCTACAGCGCCACTTCCGGTTTCCTGGTGGTTTATTGGAGATAGGAGTCTCACGGTCTCTCCTGCCTGGGCTGGCTTTGAACCTTGATCCTCAGATCTCAGCCTCCTGAGTAGCTAGGATTACAGGCGTGAGCCACCAGCGCTCGGCTCTATCTAAACTTTTTAACTGCATATAATTTTTAAAAAGATGCTGCCAAAAGTAGATGTTATGTTAAGTTTGTGTCATTGAGACAAAATACCTAAGTTAATAGCAGGCAGGGGAACTAAGAATGTAGCTTAGTAGTAGAGTGTTTGCCTAGCATGCATGAAACCCTGGGTTCGATTCCTTAATACCATGTAAACAGAAGCCAGAAGTAGCTCTGTGGCTCAAATGGTAGAGTGCTAGTCTTGAGCAAAAAGAAGCTCAGAGACAGTACCCAGGCCCTGAGTTCAAGCCACAGGACTAGTCAAAAAAAAAAAAAAAGAGGCAGGGTGCTTTAGAAACTGTAGATCATGGCCAACTGGTTCTATTCATTTTAGACTCATGGAAAGGCTAGGAAATCATGGATGAATGAATGGCATAGGAGGAAAATGTTGTTCACCTCATAACAGTAGGAGAGCAGAGACAAGAAGGGTCAGGGCTAAGCTATACCCTTCAAAGGCCTACCCCATAGTGACCTATTTCTCCAGCAAGGCTCCAACTTTCATAGTTCTTCTACCTCCATATAATAAATCCATCAATAGGTGAAACCATTGAATAGGATCTAATTATCTCTGAAAAGGCTTTCACAGACACACTCAGAAATGTGCTTTACTACTCTTGTAGGTGTCTTTCAATCCAATCAAGTTGAAGATTAAGATTAACCACCCAGGTGATCAGCTTCTTGTTTACTTAGTAGATCCCAAATAAAAGATGGTAGCCGAGCACTGGTGGCTCACGCCTGTAATCCTAGCTACTCAGGAGGCTGAGATCTGAGGATCGCGGTTCAAAGCCAGCCCAGGCAGGAGAGACCGCGAGACTCCTATCTCCAATAAACCACCAGAAAACCGGAAGTGGCGCTGTAGCTCAAGTGGTAGAGCACTAGCCTTGAGCTGAAGAGCTGAGGGAC